TACAGCATTGGAACTCCCATTGATCAGTATCCGGTCAACGAAGTAAGGGAGGTTGAGCACGTTCACGGTGAGTGGACGAATTACACTTAAACAATTAAACGCGAGCTGTATTAATCAATGTTAGGGTTATGGATTGAATGTCCTGACTCAACCAAAAAATAAAATTCGAGACCTTGGTGTGTGTGTGTGTGCAAGTGTGATAATGCCTAAGGAAAACCACCGCATGTAGGTTATACATAATACACATATACTTCAATTCAATACTCGTTCCCTGCACCTACGAGCCATTTGCCGAAATACCACCATCCGGTATTTCCACAAAGTTTACTCCACCAAATCATTCGGCCTCTATGACTAACACTGTGCCGTTTCACTTTGAAACGAAGTACCAATTCAGCCTATTGGACAATGCGACAGACAGAAAGATGATATACAGCTCCCCAAATTAAAATTGGGTACCGACGCGGATCGACCGAGTGAGAGTTCGACCCAGAAAATAGACCGAGACGATCTCGTCCCGCCACCGTGCACATACGTCATCGAATAAGCATGGTTGTAATTATTTGAAAATAATATTACAGTGATGTACCGATCAATACGCATTTAAGAGACAGCAAATCTATGAGAATTAGCTGGCGACTATCTTATTGGTGCAGTTGACTGAATTGAGGAGAGGGGGCGTTTAGTTGGAGTATTCTACCATTCAACGCCTTTGTTGCATTAAAATGTCAAAAAATTTAAATAATTAATTCCAACGACAGACGTTAAATGGAAGGTTCGGTGGCACACTCGAGAGCCTGAGTCAGCAAACTGTAACGCAAATGTCAGAGAGTGAAACGGGCGAGCAACACTGGCACAAAGTAAATAGTGAATGGGCGAAAGAGGTCATCTGAACTCACCTGAACACAGAACGGGGCAGATTGGGCGAACATCATTAGATTGGATTGTCCAGGTGTGGGCAGAAGAGCTGGTTGGGATGGTGGGGGAGGTGTTCGATACTGATTGCACACCTGAGCCTGACTAAACCCAAGATTTGGTTGAGTGTAATAGAATACAGACGGGTAGACGGTCATCGAAACAGGAGGCATTGGTTGTTGCGGTGTACCCGGAATGGAGCCGTATGGTGTGGCAGCAGAACTCAGTGAAGATGAAGGATAGATAAGCGCTTGTTCCCCGGCTATAGGCATTGTGGGCGCTTGTTGCTGTTTTGGTGGTGGTGGTTGCGATGGCTGGGGAGGTGGAGGCATTAAATTAACCGGAACGAATACAGAATTTCGAATCATCGAAGGATTAGGCCAAGTGTTTGATGGAGCCATTTGTATGGCCGGTCCGGATGTCACAGTCTCGCTGGAAAACGAGATTGGAATCGATCCGCTGGAACATGGATTCATAACACTAGAATTATGTGTTTCGATCGGTTTAAGCGAGTTATCCGCTTCGAGATCTGCCACGCTACATTGTGGCTGTTGTTGTTGCTGTTGCATTGAGGCGCGCGCCGATTGCAATTCTTGCTGGAACTGTTCTAGTGCTTTGTGATACTCCTCCATCACGGACTGGTGCAGTGAGAACCAGCTTCGAGCAAGGAAGAAATGAATTTCCGGCAAAATTCCGTAAGGGGTCCGATTTTCGCTACTCTCAATCCGTAGCAGACCGCGTTCCAGTGTCAGACTGGAATGCTCCTCACACTGGCTAATAGCACGGTAGATTTCCAGTGGCTTGAGTGTAGTGCACATGCTCAGGCTGGCCAAGCACAACTCGGCCGCAATATCCACCAACTGTGATAAAAGAATGGAAACATGAAAGGAACATAAAGGAATATCGAGAGCATCAAAAAGCGCGGATATATTAAGCTGCAGTTGTAAAACACACGTATAGATAGTTAACTTTCAAAAGGAAGGTCAAGTTTTTTCCAGTGAGACTGATTCCAATTCGGAGTTCGTCTGCACACACGGTCATAAGTTCACTCGAGCAATTTTACAAACACACACACACACGAATCATTAGGCTGGAGTTTCGCTCCCATTAGAACTTATCATTTATATGACGTAAAAGGCAAATTGATCCACTGTCATGCTTAGGCCCACGAGGTCCAAGATTCTAACCCGGAAACCATAACCCGACGTTTTTCAAGGGTGACGGATCGGCTGTCGTGGTTACGGTAGAGCAGCGACGGAACACTCATCCTTCTCAAGGCATACATAAAATAATTACTTCGAGAGGGTTTCGTGTTCTTGGCGGAGCAATCACTATAGGTGACGAACAGNGACGAACAGAACATGCGAAAGGCACCAGGCATCAAGTACAGAATGGATAGGGTGGAGACGAGAGACAAACAAGTGATTTCATAGAAAGAATTCGTCGTCTAAAGAGTAAATGAAGCATAAACTGAAAAGCTAGGAAGCACTGGACAGCTGTTTCAACCTGATTGGGTCTCATCATCAGTGCGAATCTATCGATCCAACTGGGGACTGAACCTGGGACCTCACAGACAGAACGCATGCTACCAACTCGGTCACCGAGCAGCTGATCAGAACGTCTATTCATTTGCCATTTACACGATATAGGATAACCCATCTGTGCCAGGTTGTTGAGAGCCACAGACCTCGCTCATTTCACCCTCTGAGGGTTATGATTTGGTTGGAAACATACACAACCTGACTACTCGACGAACTCCTTCCATGAAATTGAATCAAATCCGCCATGACTCACATGAAACAAGTGATTGTCAACTTACCGCCCGATTATTCTCACGGGAGAGCTGAAATGCGATTCCAGCCAACTCGGCTGCGGTCAAATGTTGCTGCCATGAGTGATACAGAATACACGCGGCCGGGATTCCGATCTCAAACACTTGTTGACTTATCCAACCACTGTCTCGTGAAAATGTTCGGCTTTGCCAAGACGGGTGGAGCATGTTATACAGACCGAGTCCGAAAAGACCGATCTGAATGGGAATGATAGTGGAGGGCATAAAAACAGTGAATAGATGAGGAACATGGTAACACATCGATCAGTGGAGAATTTAGGATCAGTTTCATCCACAACACCGTTTTAATCGTCATCGGTGTCCATTTCAGACAGACAGAGAGGGACAGTGTATTTCAAGCTAGTGTATTACACTGGAGGATTACGTAATAGGATTGCGAATTCTACAACAAACCGGAAAAAAACAAGAGAATCGCATAACTGACCTCACTTAACGCAGGTAGTCTCAACGGATATTACGCGAGAGAATGAAATAGTAGTGCTCGTCCCGGCACAGTGGACATTTTCTAGATCGGTGGGACTGGTCACTAGCGGGTGGGACATCTAGAGAATAACACAACAGATAGCTGGAACACGAAGAAGACGAATTTTTAGCACTCAGCAGCTTTCTGATATGTTCCTGTAGAGTTCTTGATATGCATATTGTGATCGAAATGAGACAAGTGACAAATTTGCAAAAGATTTTTTTAGCAGAACGGAATTCATTATCAACTGTTTTTCGTGTTCTCGTCCCCGATTTTAGGTCAGACTCTTGAGTGTGTGCGTTTCCACTTAGGGCACAATTTCCGTGATTGTTTTCCGTAGTTTTGTAGCTCGTCGCCAAAACCGACGATCAGTCAACAAGTTCTTCTTCGCCGATGAAACTGTATCTCCCGAACAGGTGAAGCTCTCTGCTACCGAAAATTTCCCACGTTCGCATCTTTCTTTCGACAGCCGGGAGTGTAGTCGCGTTCTTGCCACAAGGTATCCACATGTCATCGGCATAACAAAAACTCCCAATAACGTGAAAATAAATAACCATCACATTAGCACCGATAATTTCTTTCGCAGTGACCGTATCAACAGGATTCCCAGGCACTGTCGAAGTTTAGTGCTGATAGATGAAACGCCTGTCCCCTTCAATTTTCCCCCCATTTGTATTTGTTTTTATAAAATTCAACTCCCCGTTTTTTTCGCGTCAGTAAGGGATCCCTATCGCACCACCACCAGTACCGCTAGTTCCCGATCGACCCAGTTTAACAAGGATTTCCAATTTTCAAACGAGTTTTCAAGATACCTTATGCACCAGGTTCCTTTAAATGGATCTAAGTGATTGGTTGTTCGGTCGCGGGTTTGTTGGCTCGATCAGGCTCGTTCCTTGGATTATAACAACGATCATCATGAAAGGTCAAACAAACATACTCAGCCAAGCCCATCATCAGTTGTACTATCCGCGGGATCATCACATGGTTTATTGAAAATCAATTAGCGGATCGGAAGCACTTTGTACATAATTGTGTGACGGACAGATGGAGCCTATTCCGGTGGTGACGCGTGTCATCCAATAGGCGATTTGCCAAGTTCGCTTAGAGTTCATCGTTTTGTCAGCTGTGCTTCAGTTCAGTTCAGTTCTAACAACCATCAGCCATGCACTTTCGTGCGCCGGTTTTGGTTGCCTATTTGGATAAAACAGCAGAATGTACAGTAGAATGTTGAGAGCAGAGTTAAGAGGAAGGTAGCACACTTTCATAGACTGAAGTTACAAGAATAATGAGTGAATGCATGAATGCCATTGTTTGTGACACCCCGTCATATCACCCAGTGTCTCTAACCATCGGTGACCATGATCTCTGGGTCCCCAGTCAGGGAGCCTAACGGGACCTATGTGAGCCAGTCTCCTGGTCAGGGTTTTCACACCCTCATGCCAGGTTTTAGCTTGACCGCCCTTCATTGTTTTCCCAACCGCTACCTGCCTCGCCAAGCATCGCTCGCCGTGGCAACCTATCTGGTGACATGCGTAGCACATGTCCCAACCAGCGTAATCAACTATGCTTACCACTGTANCAGTTATACATAGACAGCTTTATTGGTGCAATCATCGGGCCGTTTAACCGCTTCACAGATTATTACTGTCTTTAAAACTAAACATCTGTGTGTTTTCATGTCCTTTCTAATCGTCCGTACTTTCTCACGTTGAACTCGCTGTAACCATTCTGACTGCCCTCAGATCCAGGTGTTAATATCATTTCCTCTGTGTGAACTATCAACACTTTGTTCAGACTGAACTGAGCTAACACAACCGCAAAATACGGACTGAGCTCCATACAATAACGTTCTAGCTGAGGTCCAAACACAAACTTACACCGCACGCGGCTTCTAACAACGCACAATTCAGCCGTATGGATGTCATCAGCCAGCTGGCCAGCCCACCCCC